GGGTTAGTGAGGGACGACCAAACAACTGAGCAGCAGGCTGTGTGGGGCAACCAGGCCGGTGGGGGGGGCAGTTGGGGGCGACCAGGTTAGTGGGGAGGAGCAGTTGGGGGAAACCAGGCAGGTAGAGGGGGGATGTTGGGGGCAACCAGATCAGCAGGGGGAGCAGTAAGGGGCGGCCATGCTGGCGGGGGAAGGGCAGTTGGGGCGACCAGGTTGGCAGGGGGCGGCAGTTAGGGGCGATCATGTCGGCAGGCAGAGGCAGTTAGGGGTGATCAGGCTAGCAGGGGGGCCAGTTAGGGGCGATCAGGCAGGCAGGCAGGTGAGCAGTTAAGAGCCAGCGGTCCTGGATTGTGAGAGGGATGTCCGAGGGGTCCCGGATTGGAGAGGATGTAGGCTGGGCTAAGGGGACTCCCCCCCTCCCCCCGCACAAATTTTTTGCACTGGGCCTCTAGTCTTCACTAATAAAAGACAAAGATGCTAATTGACCGTACCTTCGCTACACCCATCAGCCAATCAGAAGAGTATGCAAATTAACCCAACAAAGATGGCCGTTAAATTTGCATACTGCAGGCAGGGCGGGACAGCGCTATCCGCCGCCTGCCCCGCCACCATCCGGGCCTGCTATCTGTGACCCGGGGCGGTGGGGGGGGACAGCGCCATCCGCCGGCCTGCCCTGCCGCCATCCGGGCCTGCTATCTGCGACCTGACCCAGGGCGGCAGGGCGGGATAGCAGCGATTCGCAGGCCCACCCGGCTGCCATCCGGGCCTCCCATGTGTGACCCGACCCGGGCGGCAGGGCAGGACAGCAGCAATCCGCCAGCCCAGCTGGCCGTGAAGGGAACGGAGACAGGAGCGGAGCTGAGGCAGTGGACACGGAAGGGAGTGAAGCAGCAGAGATGGGAGGGAGTGATGTGGCGGAGAAGGGAGGGAGCCGAGTTGGTAGAGACAGGAGGGAGCAAGGCAGTGGAGAAGGGAGCAAAGTCTGTGGGCTTCGCTCCCTTCTCTGCTTCGCTCTGGCCTCAGGAAGCCCTATTCTTGCAGGAATCTTCCTGCAACGGGCCTCTAGTCTTAAAATAATTTTGTTAAGTGAAAGAAGCCAGGCAAACAAAAGAACACGCTGGGACACATCCTTGTGCTTCCTTTGAAAGCTGGAAACTGTTGCCCCTATATTTCTCTTTCTGGCAAATATGACCTCCTGCACCCTCTGTTAGTTCTCTCTGCTAAGCTTGCCTCCTATACTTCACCACCTTAAAGTAAGAGCAAGTTATCATCCACACACAACCATACCCAGCGAGAAAGAGAAACCTACTCTTGAAAGCAAGAAGAAAGAAGCAGGTTAGTAGAGAATTTGCTTAAAAGATGTGTTTACAAGACTGTTCCCATAGCCAACATTTTGGCATTTTCAGGTAGTAAAATAAGTAATGAAAAGTCATAGGTAAAATAAACAAGGATGTGGGGAACCTAAATACAATACAAAAACTAACAACTTCATTAAAAACGAGTAAAATAATCACACTGAAGAGGTTAGGGGGAAAGAACAAGCCTAGGTTACTTTGGAAAACAGAGTTTGGGCTGCATTCTGTAAGGTTAAAGATAAATTTATTTTTCACGGGAATGTGGGTTAGCAATTCTAAATCACTTTACATGAATAGTAGGAGACAGATGTCAAGAATGAGGAAAGGGCTGTAAAAAATCAATAAAATATATTAAAAAAAAAAAAAAAGAATGAGGAAAGGGGCCCTGGCCGGTGTGGCTCAGTTGGTTGGAGCGTCGTCCCATACACCAAAGGGTGGTGGGTTCAATTCCTGGTCAGGGCATATGCCCAGGTTGCAGGTTCCATCCCAGGTCCGTGCGTGTGCGGGAGGTAAATGGTCTGTGTTTCTCTCTCACATCAATGTCTCTCTCTCTCTCTCTCACCCCTTCCTCTAAAAATCAGTACTAAAAAATTTTTTGAAGAATCAGGAAAGGGGAGGTGCTGGATTGAAATTAGAGGTACTTAATATATGTACAGATGGACAGATCTAGAAACAAATGCAGATGTATGTGTGCATTGGTTAGCATATAGACAGATACAGGGTGTCCCCCCCAAAATGTATACATACTTTAATAGCTGATTGTTCAATTTCAAAAATGAAATGTATTGTAATAAACACTGCCTTTATAATTATTCAAAGGGTGTGTTTACATTTTTGGGATACCCTATATTTCCTGTCTGCTGAGAGGGCCTACAATCAATGACATCGAAGTAGCAATGAGAATACCTAGTGCCCTGATCCCAATACCTAAATACCATTTGTCAATAAAATGAACTTATTGGAGCAGTGGCTGAGTCTAGGCCTGAAACTGGAAAATGACCAAATTAGCCAGGAGTATCTTGTAGTAGAGAAAGTAGGGAGTTTTCAACAATGATGGAGAACATAAGGCACTTTGGAAAAGCTCCTAATGGACAAATCTGTGACAATTTGAGCAAGAAAATAGTGATAGTAATGGATTATATCACCCAGGGTAAGATAAATACCCAGGAGTCCATACTAACATAAATTATTGAATCAGTTAATAAATGGGGGAGAAGGAACAGTTCTTCTTTACATAATTACAATTAAAAAAGTAGAGCCCTGGCCGGTTTTCTCACTGGTTAGAGCGTCAGCCTGCAGACTGAGGGGCACAGGTTCAAATCCAGTCAAGGGCACTGTACCTCGGCTGCAGGTTCAATCCCCGGGCCCTCTCAGGCACATGGGGAAGGCAAACAATCAATGTGTCTCTTTCACATGGACGTTTCTCTCTCTCTCCCCTCCCCCCTTCCCTCCTACTCCTCCCTCCCATCTACTCTCTCTAAAAACAAAAAAAAGTAAATGGAAAAATATCCTTGGATGAGGATTTTTAAAAAAAGTAAAAGGCATGATGGAAATGGGCAAATACCACAGAAATAAGTTTTGCAGGCCAGAATCACTGATAGATATTTGCAGTCTCAAAGTATTCCCCCATAAGATGCTTAATCATTTCAAAAAAGCAGATACCACCTTACCCAGCTGATCAAGGTAAACATGACTAGTGATGAGACATATCAACATCATGAACCTTCTCATATGATGCACTAAGAAGGGTTCAATCTCACTTTTGCAGCATCTTTGCTAAAAATTTAGAAACTCTGCCTGGCTGCTTAGTGGTTGAGTATCAACCTATGAACCGGGAGGTAATGGTTCAATTCCTGGTCAGAGCACATGCCCAGGGTTGTGGGCTCGATCCCCAGTAGGGGGCGTGCAGGAAGCAGCCAATCAATGATTCTCTCTCATTGATGTTTCTATCTCTCGCTCCAACTCCTTTCCTCTTTGAAATCAATAAAAATATATTTTTAAAAATGTTTTAGAAACTCAATCTAAACATGAGAAAACATTTTTTCAAAAAAACTGAAACAGCATGGATGGACCTGGAGAGCATTATGCTAAGAGAAATAAGCCAGTTGGAGAAAGATAAATATCACATTATCTCACTCATTTGTGGAATATAATGAACAACATAAACTAATGAACAAAAATAGATCCAGAGACATAGAAGCATCTAACAGACCGTCCAACCTCAGAGGGAAGGTAAGGGAGGCTGGGAGCAGAGGAAGTAAGAGATCAACCAAAGGACTTGTATGCATGCATATAAGCAGAACCAGTGGACACAGGCAGTAGGGGGATGAGAGCCTGTGCTGGGAGGCGGGAGCCGGCGGGGACAGGTCAATGGGGGGGAAAGGAGACATATGTAATACTTTTAATAATAAAGAATTTAAATTAAAAAATAAAATAAAAATTGAGTGACATTCCACAAAATAACTAGCCAGTACTCTTCATAAATCTCAAGGTCTTATGAGGAAAGACTGAAGAACTGTCTCATCAGACTGAGGAGACGAGAGACATGACAACCAGATACAAGTGGGATCCTCGATCAGATCCTAGCACAGAGAAAGGAAATTAGTGGGAACACTGGCAACATTCAAATAAGATCTGTAGATTTTCTAAAAATAGTATTTTTTATCAGTGTTAATTTTCTGGTTTTAATCACTGAACCACTGGTTTGTATGGTTAACGTTAGGGGAACCCAGGTAAAGCATATACACAACTCTGCACTATGTTTACCTCTTGTCTGAACTGTAAAAATATTTCAAAATAAAATTTTTAAATAAGTCTGTGATTTAGATGACCTCTGTGGGCCCCAAGCAGTCTAGATCAGCATCTCCAGCTACCTCCACACAAGGTGCTGAGCTGCACCCTGTACCACCCTTCATAAAGGCGACCAAATGCTAACAGCTTATAACTGGAGCAGGGGGCTCACATGTGATGCCCACTTTCTTTCTACTTCTGTTATCTGAATTTTTTTATTTTTTTTAATCCTCACCCGAGGATATTTTCCCACTGATTTTCAGAGAGTGTAGAAGAGAGATGGAAAGACAGAGAGAAAAATCTATGTGAGAGAAACACATCAATTGGTTGTCTCCTGCATGAGCCCTGACTAGGGCCTGGGCCAGGGAGGAGCCTGCAACCGAGGTACGTGCCCTTGACTGGAACTGAACCCAAGACCCTTCAATCTGCAGGATGACACTCTATCCACTGAGCCAAACCAGCCAGGGCTGTTATCTGAAGTCTCTACAATGTGCACATATTATACATGATGAGAAAATTGTGGGGTGGGAGAAGCAGTGAACTATACCAAATGTATGTATTTATAAAAATGATGTCCTCTTCTAAGGAAATAACATTTCATACTCATCATAATAGGAATAATTTCTTGTCAATTACTAAATAAAATGCTGTCTAAATAAAACACTAAAGTAATTATTGAAGTAATTAAAAGAAGAAACAGTCCTGCTAACTTCTGATCTAAGCCAGACCTTGAAAGATTAAGAAAATTTCTTATTGTGTGAATGACATTGTTTCCTTTGGTGTTTATTCTGTTTTATTAAAATAAGATTTTTAAACAATGGTAAACTATTTTTAAAAGACAATTTTTTCACTTACTTTTTCATTTTTTATAGTTACATAAAGATAAACCTCAAAAGTATCATCTTCTACAGCACATAATTTGGCTTCCACCTGGGTAGTTGCTAAGTGGCATAAATGAAAACATCAATTAGCTGATATCAAAAGTATATTTGAAACAACTGGACTATTTCCCACCTATTAATCTCTGCTAACCACTTCTGATTACCCAGCACCACAGGCCCGACGGCTTCCCCCTGCAGGTGGGTCTAAATGCAGGAAGGTCTGCAGGTGGGCAAGTCGAGGGGAAGCTCTCCTGGCAGGCAGGCAGCCTGTCTCTTCTCCCCATCCACCCACAGTCTTTCACCCGAGTCCACTTTCCAAATGCCCACAGAGCAGAGCTCTTGACCCTCTCGGAGACTTACTAACCCAGCAGCTCCATGTATGGGTGCCTAGTGGACACCATGCTAAGTCCTTTACAAACGTATTTCATTTCACTCTTACCATAACCTTTGAGAGTCACTGTACAGGTGAAGAGACCAGGCTCAGCGAAGGCTCCACAGCAGAAAGAGGGCAGTATTCAAACCTAGGCACTCTGCCTCTTCCAAACTCTGTCTGCCAGCATTCCCCACTAGGCTCACAGGGACCAAAACTCCAAAACCAGCGACCCTCGCCCAACCTCCGATTGCTCACAGCATCTGGCCGTTTCTTTAACAGAGGGGGGGAAAGATCTGGCACGAGGCCCTATAAGGCCCGTGAAATCACTGGGTCTGGCCCTGCCAAGGCATTCGGGGTGCATCAATTAAATGTTTGGCCAAATACAGCAGCTGATTTTTAAGTTGGTAACTGTGTATGGCCCGAGAATGACGTCAAATGGCCTTTGACAGAAAAAAGGTTCCACACCCTGCTTTAACCGGACAGTGGGGCAGCAGAGGAGAGGGCCAGGACCTCACCAGGCACAGGCAGCACCAAGAGCTCACACCCACTACTTCTCAAAACAGCCCTCGGAGGCGGGCACGGTTATGCGGCTCTTGACTGCCAGGGGTTTGGACAGCTGCCACAAGTGAGCCTCCATATCGCATGGCTACACTCACCAACATGAAGAGAGCACACTGCAAAGGTGCTCTGAGACAGTCTACACCTGTTAAATTAGCAATGATTACACAATAACGTGGGCTTTTAATCAATTGCTGGTTCAGTAAAATGCATGTAAATTTATTCTGCAGTGCTTCAGCTTCTATGCAAACTAAGAGGCAGGCATTGTTTCTGTGTAAGCATCTCTTACCCATACAGCCTCTTTCTAACCTCACCTCTCAATTACTGATGTCCACATTCACCCCCCAAAAATTCCAGGACTGCAGCGTCACTGTGCCATTGGGGTAGAAGAAGCTCCAGATAACTTATGAACCCATATGAGGAGGGCCAAACAGCTAAGCATGCACATCTCAAACCCCCACCCCCCTAATTGAAGGTTAAACCACCTTGGGTGTCAGTTCAACACGGGCTGCAGTGATGGCACACTTGCCTTACCTTTCAGGATGTTCTGAAAGTACTGAATAGCTGCAGTGTCCCACTTCTTGGCGGGTCTGGAACGGTGAACAGATGCAACGTCATTAAATAGAAATCTGAGGTTAGTACACTAACATCATTTTGTAACACTCACTGGGTATTTCTGACATTACGTATTGGCATATGATGCAGATAATGGGGACGGCCCCAGCTGCAGCCTGCAACAGGCTCCTCACCGCTGCCGCCTGCACCCGGGCAGAGACTCTTTGAGAACGGGCCTGCCATCATCTGTCCCAACACTGCTGCCCCCAGTTACCTGGGACATAGCTGCCTCCCCAACAGAACACAAGCTTGCTGGGGCAGGAATCCTGAGTGTGCAGTGTTCAGCACAGGCTGGCACACAGCAAGGCCTCCAAACATGTTGGTCAAACCAACATTCTGAGAGTGGCCACTGTTGTCTCATGCTATTCCTCACTCAGCCGACACCCTCTCACTGTCGCCCATTTTCTATCATCTTGCCTTTTCCTATGCTTTGGAAAGAAAATCGCAAAAGACTTCTGGTCAAGATGGTGGCGTAGGTAAACAGTACTCACCTCCTCCCACAACCACATCAAAATTACTAAACTACAGAACAACCATCATTCAGAACCAACTGAAATCTCACTGAAACGGAAGTCCTACAAGTAAGAATATAAAGAAGCCACATCAAGATTGGTATGAGGGACAAGACTGGTAGGGAAGGTGGACCCAGGGAAGTGAATGGCGCCACACCCAGGTGTGGCACATAAAAATCGGTAGGGAGGAATAGGGGGATGGGGGGGAAAGGTGAAGGGCTTAAGAAGTACAAACTGGCCCAGTCTGGCATGGCTCAATGGTTGAGCATCAACTTATGAACCAGGAGGTCACGGTTTGATTCTCAGTCAGGGCACATGTCAGGGTTGTGTGCTGTGGGCTCGATCCCCAGGGCGGGGCATGCAGGAGGGAGCTGATCAATGATTCTCATCATTGATGTTTCTATCTCTCTCTCCCTCTCCCTTCCTCTCTGAAATCATTAAAAATATTTTTTAACAAAAAAATAATATTAAAAAAAAGAAGTACAAATTGGTTGTTACAGAATAGTCACAGGAATGTAAAGGACAGCACAGGGAATACAGTCAATAATATTGTCATAGCTAAATATGGTGTCAGATGGGTGCAAGATTTATTGAGATGATCACTTAAATAATCTAATCACGGTGATGTACACCTGAAACTAATACAATATATACTAACTGTAATTGAAAATGAAAAATTTAAAAAAAAAGAAAATTGCAGGAAAAGCTGTAGTCAGAGGAAGATCAGGAGAAACCAATATTTGGAAGCAAGGAACAAAAATAAAATAAGGTTAGAGTGAAATGTTTTGTTTCTCCACTGGTTTTATTTATCAGAGAGGCCACCACCATCCTCCCAGGGTTGCTTTAAAGATCAAATGAGGTAATGCACACAAGCACATAGCCCAGTGCCTGGATTAAAATATTACCCTTCTTTTTACTAAGAAAGACATTAAGCATATTACTTCAAGAGAATTACAAAGGGTTTCTAAAAGAAGGCTAAATAAATAAAAGACAGTGGTTCTAGGTGTGCTCTTCCTCCCAGGAGCCTGTGCCGTTCCCTTTCCACACTCATTCCCTACAAGCATGCATCCTCTAAACTCTAAGGGACCGTCCCCACGAGGCTTGCAACCAGGGAGCAATGGGCAGTAGCACCTTGTCCTGGGCTAACCCGCTGACCCTGTCCCCAAGACTCCCTTTCTAAAATTAAAAAAAAAGAATTGATGTTTCTCTCCTCCCCTCTCCCTTCCTCTCTGAAATCCATAAAAAAATGTATTTAAAAATATATCATTGTCACCCAGCCATCAAGCAAAAATGAAAAATCCTGATGATATCCAGTGTCGTGTGGGGAAAACAGCACTTTCTACACCCAATTACAGAAATACAAATCGCTAGTCCTTTTGAAGGGAAATTTGATAAAATCTATAAAAACTGCAATATGCAAATTGAGACACATTCTAGATCAGGGGTCCTCAAACTTTTTAAACAGGGGGCCAGTTCACTGTCCCTCAGGCCGTTGGAGGGCCGGACTATAGTTTAAAAAAAAACTATGAACAAATTCCTATGCACCCAGCGGCGGCAAAAGCCCCCCGGCGGGCCGGATAAATGTTTTCGGCGGGCCGCAGGCCGTAGTTTGAGGACCCCTGCTCTAGATGAAGGGTACTTGTCAAAGAAGGTAATCAAAACCCAGTAAGATCAGTTACTTAAAGCCTTCGCCTACACTGAGGGTATCCTCGGGCTGGGTGTGTCCGAGGCTGGGAGGGTCCCTAGGAGCCCAGTATGCTGGGAGAGGGGTAATGCAGAGGGGGGAGCAGACTGCCTCTGAGGGAGAGCTGAGCACGGACAGGCAGGCACCCAAGTCACCCAGGAGGGTGAGCAGCTACTGATCTGAAAGGACAGGGAAAGAGACTGGGTTTGCTTGGGCAGCTTGGCAGAGTGCAACGGCCTCAGCAGAGACAAGCTGGCTTGGTATCTTCTTAGTGCAGCTTCCAAGGCCAGCACAAGAGTGATGCATTCACCATTTCAAGGGGACTGTCGGTGATGAGAATTGGAGGAACTGAGACGGGAGGGTCTCCATAGACTCCACGAAAGTTGTGCTGTTTCTGTAGCTTTTCTTCCCACAATGCCACAGTTCTGGAGGAAGAGGGAGAAGGAGCCCCAGGTGGAAGGATGGACCTCAGGTAGTCTTGTTCAAGACTGCAAAGATCACAGCCACACCCCCAACACAGTACTGCCCGATGCAGGGACCTGTCCTGTACAAACACTGGCAATGGGGCCAAATACTAGGGAGAAAAGGCAAAGATGGGGAGCATGTGTGTGACGTGTGCGTATGTGTGTACACACGTGTACACCTCTCTACATCTATATGTCTTATATGGACGTATCTATATTTTGATATAAATGTACAGTGCAAAATGGTTTGGAAACAATCTAGCTGGGTATCAAAAAAGGAATGGTTGCCAAAACCGGTTTGGCTCAGTGGATAGAGCGTCGGCTGAAGGGTCCCGGGTTCAATTCCGGTCAAGGGCTTGTACCTGGGTTGCAGGCACATCCCCAGTGGGGGATGTGCAGGAGGCAGCTGATCGATGTTTCTCTCTCATCGATGTTTCTAACTCTATCTCTCTCCCTTCCTCTCTGTAAAAAATCAATAAAATATATTTTTTTAAAAAAGAGGAATGGTTAAATACAGCAAGTATGCTATTATATTTACCCATAAAAAAGACTGAAAGTAGAAGAGGGTACAAAGAGATTCAACACACATTACGTTAAATTTGCAAGTAAGACAGTAGGTTGTAATGTGCATAAAAGCTCCATGTAAATGAATATGTATAAAAGCCCTGAAAAAGGTCTGCAAGTTCAGAGCCTAAGCAGGTCACAGAGGCCTCCCAGGAGAGAGGAAGTGAGGCTGGAGAAGAATGCAACGGACTTTTCTTTTAATTCTCCATGATCCTACATGTTGTGCCCTTTACAGTTATTACTTTTTTAACTATATTTTTATTGATTTCAGAAAGGAAAGGAGAGGGAGACAGAGATAGAAACATCAATGATGAGAGAGAATCATTGATCGGCTGCTTCCTACATGCCCCACCCTGGGGATCCAGCATACAACGCGAGCATGCGACTGACCGGGACTCGAACCGTGACCTCCTGTTCATAGGCTGACCCTCAACCACGGGGACACACAGGCCAGGCAGTCATTACTTTCTGTAAGTGGGGGGAAAAGGGAAGCCGAAAAGCAGAGTTCAGACCCTACTCTAACTCCTTCAATTGCAGCTGCTGTGGGTGGAGTTGCCCAGGGAATTCTGCTCATGACCAGGTTGGACACACACGGACTCAGAAAATATCTCCTGAAGAAAAAAGAGACCCGTGAGATCGCTTCGCACTTCTCAAGAGGAATTAGTCTCATAGATACATCAGATACTCAGTTAAGTCTTTCACCAGTAAGTTAACATGTTAGAAGATGTACTTACACAATTTTAGCACTGTCTTCACAAAAGTCAAAGTGTAATGTAACAGGTTTGGTACAATACAGTCTGAATTTTTTCGCTCTGTAGGGAAGCTGCATAAAAGTTTCTACTGCAACTCGGATGCTTTAACAGTGAAACAGAAACGGTTCAATTATAAAGAAAATTACACATAACATTTCTTTAAAGTACACCAATATACCTAATACACAACATAAAAACAAAACACAAAAAACAATTATTTCTGTTTCTAATATAGCCACTAACCGCAAGAAATACATGGAGACATTTGCCAAAGTTGACAAACACTGGTTCTTGGGCGGGGGAGAGGAGGGATCCTCTTTTTATGTATAAAGCACAGATACACATATAGTACATACATAGGTATTCAGTATAACTCATGTTAAAATTTCATGGCGTGGCCCGGGTCAGTGGATTGAGCATCTTCCCATGGACCAAGAGGTCGCTAGTTTGATCCCAGGTCAGGACACATTGCAGGCTCAATCCCCAGTAAGGGGCATGCCGGAAGCAGCCCATCCATGTTTCTCTCATCAGTGTTTCTACCTCTCTCTCCCTCTCCCTTCCTCTCTCTGTAAAATCAATAAAAACATATACTTTTTAAAAATTTCGTGGCATGGGAGTGGGGAGGGATTAGAAAAATGTCTCGTGAGGCTCCTTACATTGAAAAACAATGCTCAAACTTGGGAGCAAATTTTATTTAAGATTTTTAAGTATCAGCCCTGGCCAGTGGTTCAGTTGGTTGAGCTTCATCCTGATACACCACGGTTGCAGGTTTGATCCCTGGTCAGGGCACAGAAAAGAGTGGACCAATGGTCCTAACCGGTTTGGCTCAGTGGATAGAGCGTCAGCCTGCGGACTGAAGGGTCCTGGGTTTGATTCCAGTCAAGGGCACATGCCTGGGTTGCAGGTTTGATCCCCAGTAGGGGGCATGCAGCAGGCAGCCAATCAATGATTCTCTCTCATCACTGATGTTTCTATCTCTCTCTACCTCCCCCTTCCTTTCTGAAATAAAAAAAAATATATCTTGAAAAGGAAAAAAAAAGTGGACCAATGAATGCATCAATAAGTGGAACGATAAATCAATGTCTGTCTGTGTATCTCTCTGTCTCTCCTTCCCTCTCTCTCAAATCAATAAATTTAAAAAATTTTTAAAGATTTTTAAGATATTTAAGTATCAATTTCAATACACAACCAGAATTACCTTAACATTTCTATAAATGAGAAGTTTTCATAATTAGTGTTGGCCAGCTCTGCACAAAAGAGCTGAAAGGACTGAGATTTGCTAAGTTGCTCAACATTTTTTATTTCCCTTCTTCCAGGTAAACGACAGACTTGAACACACCATTTCGACACACGGGTTATGATGATGCCACACGGACAGGCTAGGCACCTTTTGTCTCAGTTCAGAAAACGGTGGCGGCATTAACTGCCCCTCGAGGCCTCCTTGTGCTCTATTTAATCATATGATTCTCTTGCCCAAAACAAACTAAACTTAAAATTCAAAACACTAAAAGAAAATATCCCCCAAAAGTTCAACAACAGGTGTGTGTGGTTTGTTTGTTTTTTAACAATTACAGCTATAAAGGTGCAAACCAAAAGCTGGAAATGCATCCTTTTTCCTAAACATCTGCAGATTTCCTTCTGCCATGGCATTCTTAAGATAATCCAATCAGATAAGCCTCTTATTGCGGCTGAAATCTATTTGGTGTTACTCTTTTGGAAGACGAGTCCTCATATTTATTTATTAAACTGACATCCTCTTACTCTGGGATGGGAAACCATGGAAAAATTACCACAAACACTTATTGACAGTATTTTCTCATGAACTGTGACATGTGGCCCTAGAATCAGTGAGGGTTCTTTCTGGCCAGGGGCACCTGGGAGATGCAGAGCACCTGCCCTTTCCAGGAAAGGAGGTGGCAGGAGGCTGGAGCTGCCTGCTGAGTCTTCATTCTGACCACTTTCTCCGACACTCGCTGCCATGCAGCACTGAATGGAATCTGACGTCTTCAAGAAGGCTTCCCTTCTTGAAGCTTAAAAAAAAAAAAAACAACCGCCCTGACCGGTTTGGCTCAGTGGACAGAGCGTCAGCCTGCGGACTGAAGAGTCCTGGGTTCGATTCCGGTCAGGGGCATGTACCTTGGTTTCGGGCACATCCCCAGTTGGGGGTGTGCAGGAGGCAGCTGATCGATGTTTCTCTCTCATCGATGTTTCTGGCTCTCTATCCCTCTCCCTTCCTCTCTGTAAAAAATCAATAAAAAATATATTTTAAAAAAAACATCCAGCTTACAACCTCTATCCCCTTACTTTGAACACTGGCACGCTCCTTTAAAACTGGCATTTGTCTCCTTAAACAGCATAAGGCAAAAAAAGTCATACGTACTTTTTCGATTTCACTGGAATGTTCTTGGCAAAATCCACAAGGAAACACTCTGCCAGGTAATGATCTGCTGAACACACGATTGACTTAATGACAGCCCTGCACCAGCACTTGAGTTCCTGGCAATAAACCACACAAACCTACAAAATGAAAACTTCAGTGTTAACATCTCTAGCCATATAATGGGAGCCTAAAGGTCCTCTCAAAATCACCTCAGCCTACATTTCACCTTCAGAAGAGGAAAGAGATTCAAGGAGGCTGGCCCTGCCTAAGCTGGACACCGCTGGTCAGTGAAAGAATCTAAGTCAAGAACACAGGACACTGAATTCTACTTCGCTCTTTTTTTTTCTCTACAATCCTTTTGACTGCTTAAAGGATAATTTAAAGAAAGGCTTCTTAAATCAAAGCTTCAGACACGAAACCTCAACCCCAGGTCATCTTCCCCATTTTCCTCCTGTGGCTTTCACTGCCCCTGACACTTGTTTACCGCCTCACACACCTGTAAGTCCGCTCTGTGATGTGGATTTTTGCCTGTTTTGTTTATTGCCATCCTCCCAACACCTAGAACAGCGTTCGGCCTGCACTAAAGTCTTCAAAATCGACGTGAGTGACTTGGTGAGTGACTTGGTGAGTGGCACAGTTGCTTGGAGCATTATCCCATGCATCAAAAGGTTGTGGGTTCTATCCTTTAGTCCAGGGGTGGGCAAACTTTTTGACTGGAGGGCCACAATGGGTTCTTAAACTGGACCGGAGGGCCGGAACAAAAGCATGGATGGAGTGTTTGTGTGAACTAATATAAATTCAAAGTAAACATCATTACATAAAAGGGTACGGTCTTTTTTTTTTTTTTTTAGTTTTATTCATTTCAAACGGCCGGGGCCCGTGGGCTGTAGTTTGCCCACGGCTGCTTTAGTCAGAGGGTATAAGGGAGGCAACCAATTGAATTTTTTCTTTCTCTCTCTCCCCCTCCCTCCTTTCCTCATTCCCTCCCTCCCTTCCTCTCTCTCTAAAAATCAAGTTTAGCTCAGCTGGTGTGGCTCAATGGTTGAGCATCGACCTATGAACCAGGAGGTCATGGTTCGATACCCCGTCAGGGCACATGCCCAGGTTGTGGGCTCAATCCCCATTGTGGGGCGTGCAGGAGGCAGCCAATCAATGATTCTCTCTCATCACTGATGTTTCTATCTTCCTCTCCTTTCCTCTCTGAAATCAATAAAAATTTAAAAAATAAAAATCAATTTTAAAAAATATCCTTGGGTGAGGATTAAAATAATAATAATACATTTTTAAAAATTTTTCTGTAGTCCCCTTTTAGGGAAACTACCCTGCTGAATTGTCAGGTCGTGGCATCCTGACTGTCCCACAAGACTGCCAGGCCACAAGCGACTCAACGGCAATCCACAGACAGGCACACCAAATATAAAGTGGCCCAGTGGCGACAGCTGTGCCCAACAAAAAACATGGGCCAACTGAGAATCCTGCCCTCAGGAATTAAAGTTGGAAAACATAGTGCAGCCATTCTGCAAAACTCAAATAATTCAAGACATATTCTGCCAAAGGATGGAGGTTACTTCTGTTTAATTCTTAAGTCAAAGTAACTTGTAGGAATGGTCTGAATAGGTACTAATTCACACAGGCAGTTAACTTTGAAGTTGTGGTATATTAGGGTTCCCACTAGTCAAAAATGGAATAAGTTAGGCATCAAGAACAATGATTATACCTGATGAATGTATTAAAAGCCATGATGAATGTATTAAAAGCCATGAGTTCAGTACTTATGGCTTAAAAAATAAAAAAGAGAAACAAAACACCCTGTGGACACCAATGTAGATAACTAGGCACAAATCACTATGCTAAAAATTGATAAGGGAAAGAATCAAGTAATGTTTCTAACTTTCCAGGATAAATTGTATTATGTCAGGGTAGCCAAACAATCCCAACAGATGAGGGAATGTTCTCTGCAGAAGAACTCCAGCTCGTGAACGCAGAAGAAATGTGAAAACGACCAATTTGCAAGCTGAAGTGAAAGCACTGATTGGGGCAGTGGTAACCACTGGATGGTACAACCATGACGTGAAAAGCTGATGGCACCACCAGCAGGGAGAGCTAGGGCTGTCACCATCTAAATCCACTGGTCAATCTCAGCATCACCAAAAGTGATCCTATGTCCCAATTCAATACAAGATGAAGCTCATAGTACCAATCGTTCCAGGGGGTGGGGGGCAAGTGACCCTAAATCCAATCAAAGCTTTATGTTTAACTATTGGACCACAGAAAATACAGGGTATACGGAGGGAAAGTTCACTACCACCACCACTAGGAAGCAATCAGGCTATCCAATCAGGCTATCCACTGCCCCAATCAGTGCTTTCTTTTTTTTTTTTTTGAAAAAAAATTTTTTTTTATTGCTTAAAGTATTACAAAGGGTATTACATATGTGTCCTTTTTTTCCCCCCGCCCTTGACAGTCCCCTAGTCTCCCCTATCCCCCAGTGTCTTATGTCCATTCAGTGCTTTCACTTCAGCTTGCAAATTGGTCGTTTTCACATTTCTTCTGCGTTCACGAGCTGGAGTTCTTCTGCAGAGAACATTCCCTCATCTGTTGGGATTGTTTGGCTACCCTGACATAATACAATTTATCCTGGAAAGTTAGAAACATTACTTGATTCTTTCCCTTATCAATTTTTAGCATAGTGATTTGTGCCTAGTTATCTACATTGGTGTCCACAGGGTGTTTTGTTTCTTTTTTATTTTTTAAGTGTTTCTTTTAAATGTGGAGTATTTTTTTTTTAAGTGGAATATTTTAAAAGGACAACTGACCTGGTTTCCATTTCTTAAAGCAATGGTATGGGGGGAAAATTAATGTTATGAATGATGATTTTTGAGAGGGAAAGGAATTAAAATTGTTTCTAATTTTTCTCAGTTTATAAATCTTTTCCTATCGTGCTATTAGAAAAATTCAAACTTTTCTGAGAAATAACTGATCTGTAGACAGAACCAGACAATAGGATTGGGACTTGAGGCTACAAGAAAGCAAGGAAGGACAATGATTTAGGGAAAGAAACATAAAGGAGCACGAGATGACCGAAGTCATGGGCAAACTACAAGGGAGGCATTAGCCCTAGACTGCAAACCCCCAAACCCTCTGCTGAGGTGCCGACACCTGTGATAAATCTAAAATAATCCCCAGCCCCAAGAGGATGGCCCCAATGCCTGAATTTACATGACACTCCATCTCCTGTTGCCCCATATGACCCTATACAACTGCCATGTCCCATGATTAGCCTAAATCTTGTGCAACCAAAAGAACTTAACACAAGGCAATGATTACAAGCAACAGAATACTCCAAAAGCTTTTATCATCTTAGTTGCCAAAATATTCTATATTTTGAGTAGTATTTCAAGAGATCATGCTTAAAGCACATTTAGATACATACCTGCCCCTCTTCCAACATCAATGGTTTTATTTCTATGTCTTGACGCGTGCTATTATAGAAGTCATTCATGGCGCTATTTAGTTTTTGGTAGTCAATTTCATGATCTAAAAAGGTACTAGTCCCTTTTATAATAACCCAGAAGCAACCTGGATCTTCAATCTGTAAAATTTTAAGACAAACAAAACAATGCATGATTTTAAAGTAGGACCACAAAATAATAAAACTTAGAATCACAATGACTGTTTCTAATTTAAGTGATCTAACAAATTCTTGATAAGCACCTGTCTTAAATGGTCAGACCAAAGATAAAAGACGCTCAATATACATGCATATCAAATCATCATGTTGTACACCTTAAACTTACACAATGTTACAGTTAATTACCTTTCAATAAAGCTAGAAAAAAAGATAAAAGACACAAAAATAAAATCTAAAACATGTCACCAATAATATTTAATTCTTTATTATGTATTGTGACTCAAAAAGCAGAGATCAATGTCCTTGAGCTCCTGTATTTTGAAAATATCCATAATAAAATATAAAAGCAAGGTTCAGACAATGTTTTTAGTATCCTATGTCTTTCATAAGAAAGAGAGGAAATACCCTGGCTGATGTGCTCACTGGTTGAGCACTGACCTATGAACCAGGAGGTTTCGGTTCGATTCCTGGTCAGGGCGCATGCCTGGTTGTGGGCTTGATCTCCAGTAGGGGGCGTGTAGAAAGCAGCTGATCAATGATTCTCATCATTGATGTTTCTCTATCTCTCTTCCTTCCTCTCTAAAATCAATAAAAATACATTATTTTTTAAAAGAAAGGAAATATACATTCTACTCATGTAAAAAGAAATAAATGATGGTAGATAACAAAACCAAATACAAATTATTACCTACAGAGGAAGCCAGAAGTGGGCTAAAAAGGACAGAGATGGAAGTCAGATTTCTCTGAATGTATCTTGTTATCTTAGAAACTAAGATTTTCACTGTTAAAGGTACAAATATAAAATGAAAAGTTAAATTTGAATTGAAATAGGAACTCATTTATGTACTTATCTCATGTATCCATTTCCTAATTCTTCCTCCTGAAAAAGCCTAAAAGCAATGACATCCCAAGATTTGGCTTCTAAGTACCAGGTGGCAGGAATACAGGTGTTGGCACTAGTATTCTTTCTACATTTACATGCAGCTTTCAGGAACCCTCCCCAGTCCAGGTGCTGCAGAGCAGCTACAAACTCAGAAAGTCACAGTCTGGGGCTGGAGGAGCCAGAGAACAGAGGATGGACCTGCCAGAGCAGCTATAAATTAAGGGGAGAAATTCTGAAGAGCCACAGAGGGAGAGCCCTACAGTCTGCATCGGAAAACCCCCAGCCTTGGCAGACCCTGACTTGTGCAGGGAAGACTCCAAGAGTGCAGAGAAAAGCAGCACTGGACGGTTGAAAGAAATAGTTTTATAGCTGCTGCTCATGAGAACTGTAGAACTCTCGGCACGCGGACTTGTCTCAACCTCTGCACTAAGAGGCCACCCAAACTCTAGTGTGGCTTCCAGCCGCATAAGGCTGTGTCCCCACAATGACCAGTCCCCCTCTAAAATGCCTGCCAGGAGGATTTATTGTTTGTTCTGGCCAACACCTGACAAATGCCGTTGACCTCCCTTTACTAAAGGGCTTACAGTTGTGAACCCTTCCCATCCCTTTGAGATGTGTATAACCCCAGAACAAGCTCAAACTGGCCTTATCCTGTTTCTAATTAGATGCTTAGTTCTTTTTCAGGGATAACCTAAGTCAGTGGTTCTCAACCTTGGCTGCACATTAGAATCACCTAGGAATCTTTTTAAAATCCTGATTTCTGGGCCTCGGAAATTCTGTTTATGTATTTATCTCATGTATCCATTCTGTTTCTTTGTTACTAATGTTGTGGCCCCATCCCATAACAAAGAAACAGAATTTCCGGAGGATGAGGCCCAGAAATCAGGATTTTAAAAAGATTCCCAGGTGATTCTAATGTGCAGCCAAGGTTGAGAACCACTGACCTAAGTCATGTAACCAAAGCAAGCTCACAGGAGAGAATTTTGACCTTCTACAACACCCAGAACTGCCCTGGAGCGTGTTCTCAGTGGTTAGAGCATTGGCCCATGCACCAAAGGGTCGCAGGTTTGATTCCTGGTCAAGAGCACATACCTGGGTTGCTGATTCAATACCCGGCCCCAGTCAGGGCATGTGCAGAAAGCAACCAAACTATGTGTTTCTCTCACGTCAATGCTTCTCTCCCCCCACCCACTCTCTCTAAAAATCAATGGAAAAAATATCCTTAGTAAGAATAAACCCAAATAAGTAAGTAAGTAAATAAATAAATAGCAGGGAGAATTAAAGCCCCCAAGGACCCAAAGACTTGAATGGAACTGGATCACCAGAATCCTTTATTTATTTTTGTTAATCCTCACCCGAGGATATTTTTCCCACTGATTTTTAGGGAGTGGAAGGGATGGAGGGAGGCAAGAGACACACATTAATTGGTTGTCTCCTGCACATGCCCCAACCAGGGCCAGGGATCGAGCCTGTAACCCAGGTACATGCCCTTGACCAGGAATTGAGCCCACAACCCTTCAGTGTACTTGCCGCACTCTCTCCACTGAGAACACCGACCAGGGCTCCTTCCTTTTTAGAACTGAATAATATTCCATTGAATGTATCTTCCAAATTTTGCTTGTCCATTCATCTACTGATGGACACTTGGGGAAAAATATTTCATCCGTGTAAAAGCTAAATTAATCTGGAAAACAACAACTGGTACTTACACCACACTTGGGGAAATGAATACTCCTATACTGTCTAGAAAGTTTGCTCAGTGTGAGCATGGTAAGAGCAGGAAGTTGGGAGTCAGAGAAGGAGATGTGATGATGGAAGGAGGGATGGGAGTGAGAGAGAAATTTAAAGATGCTATACTGCTGGCTTTAAAGACGGAGGAAGTAGCCACAAACCAAGAAATGTAGGTGGCATCTAGAATCAGGAAAAGACAAGCAAACAGATTTTCCCCTAGAACCCCGCATAGGAATGCAGACCTGTCACTACTTTCATTTTATCCCAGTGAAACCCAGATCACATTTCTGGCCTCTAGAACTGTAAGATAATAAATGTGTGTTTTTAAAATTAATAAAATATTTTTAATAATAAAAAATATTAAAAAATTTTTAAAAAGAGCAGGAAGTTGGGGGCAGACCAAAGCTGAGGGGGTAGATAAAAAGGTTCCTGAATCCAATTGAAAGAGAGAGAGGTTCCCAAGTTCCAGGCAGTTTAAGTCTAGCTCCTCCTGCCAGAGTTCTAGCCTGATGGATTAGCATGTGGCAGGATCTGTACCCCTGGGAGAGTCCTATCTTTACATGTGTGTTTGTTGATTTCAGAGAGAGGAAGGGAGCGGGAAAGAGAGTTAGAAACACAGATGAGAGAGAATCACTGACTGGCTGCCTCCTGCACACCAACAACCGGGCATGTGCCCTGACCAGAATCCCAGTGACCTCCTGACGCTCAAACACTGAGCCGTATGGGCCAGGCAAGCCCTATCTTTCTAAGGAGATATTATACTAGTCTATTTAGGGCAGATGGTAGAGGAGTTTGCCAGATAGATCTGAAACCCCTAAAAGTCTCAGAGCAAACCCTCTGTCAGAATCAGGTACTTCAAATGTTTATGAATCTCAATTCATATAAAATAACATGACATAAAATAGGAACATAAAGTTTGATTTTTTTTAAAAATCCCATCATTTGCTATGGCCCTCTCTTCTGCCCAATGGAATATGATTTTAAAAAAACAACAACATAGAGAGAACCAAGATGGCGGCATAGGTTAACGCCGGAGTTTGCTGCCTTGAACAACTACTTCAAAAGTGAAACTAAAAAACAGAACGGACATCACCCAGAACCACAGGAACGCTGGCTGAGTGGAACTCCTACCACTAGGAGGAAAGAGAAACGCATACGGACACTCAGAGGAGGCGCAGTGCTGAAGTCAAGTTCTGAGGTGCTGAGTGCACAGAGCGGGCTGGCGGCGGAGGGCGCGGTTGGCGTTTTCAATCGGGAGGGAGTCGCAGACTCTGAGCTCCAGATACAGGCGAGTCTTTAGGGACCCAGACTCAAACGGGAGAAGCGGGACTGCCTGGCTTCGGTCAGAGCGAGTGCAGCTTTCTCTCTGAGGTTTGCAGTGGGTGCTGGGACTCAGAGAGGCAGAGCCCCTGGGGACAGGACTGAGAGCCGCCATAACTGCTCTCTCCGGCCCACCCTGTTGATCCTGTGCGACCCGCCCTGCCCAAGCCCTGCACAGAGGCATTTGCCGGATAGCCTCAGGCAAAGGCTAGATTAGCACCTCCCTAGAGGACAGAAGTTCTCTCACTGCAGACACAGCTGATTCTCATAGCCACTTGGCCTGGAGGTCAAACCCTCCCTGGTATTAGCTACAACAATCAAGGCTTAACTACAAGACTGCGCACAAAGACCACTAGGGGGTGCACCAAGGAAGCATAACAAAATGCGGAGACAAAGAAACAGGACAAAATTGTCAATGGAAGATATAGAGTTCAGAACCACACTTTTAAGGTCTCTCAAGAACTGTTTAGAAGCCGCTGATAAACTTAATGAGATCTACAAGAAAACTAATGAGACCCTCGATGTTATATTGGGGAACCAACTAGAAATTAAGCATACACGGACTGAAATAACGAATATTATACAGACTCCCGACAGCAGACCAGAGGAGCGCAAGAATCAAGTCAATGATTTGAAATGCGAGGAAGCAAAAAACACCCAACCGGAAAAGCAAAACGAAAAAAGAATCCAAAAATGCGAGGATAGTGTAAGGAGCCTCTGGGACAGCTTCAAGCGTACCAACATCAGAATTATAGGGGTGCCAGAAGATGAGAGAGAGCAAGATATTGAAAACCTATTTGAAGAAATAATGACAGAAAACTTCCCCCACCTGGTGAAAGAAATGGACTTACAGGTCCAAGAAGCGCGGAGAACCCCAAACAAAAGGAATCCAAAGAGGACCACACCAAGACACATCATAATTAAAATGCCAAGAGCAAAAGATAAAGAGAGAATCTTAAAAACAGCAAGAGAAAGAAACTCAGTTACCTACAAGGGAGTACCCATAGGACTGTCAGCTGATTTCTCAACAGAAACTTTGCAGGCCAGAAGGGAGTGGCAAGAAATATTCAAAGTGATGAATACCAAGAACCTACAACCAAGATTACTTTATCCAGCAAAGCTATCATTCCGAATTGAAGGTCAGATAAAGAGCTTCACAGATAAGGAAAAGCTAAAGGAGTTCATCACCACCAAACCAGGATTATATGAAATGCTGAAAGGTATCCTTTAAGAAGAGGAAGAGGAAGAAAGGTAAAGATACAAATTATGAACAACAAATATGCATCTATCAACAAGTGAATCTAAGAATCAAGTGAATAAATAATCTGATGAACACAATGAACTGGTGATTATAATAGAATCAGGGACATAGAAAGGGAATGGACTGACTATTCTTGGGGGGGAAAGGGGTGTGGGAGATGCGGTAAGAGACTGGACAAAAATCGTGCACCTATGGATGAGGACAGTGGGTGGGGAGTGAGGGCGGAGGGTGGGGCGGGAACTGGGAGGAGGGGAGTTATGGGGGGGAAAAAAGAGGAACAAATGTAATAATCTGAACAATAAAGATTTAATTAAAAAAATAAAAATAAAAATAAATAAATAAATTAAAAAACAACAACATAATTTATATTTCCTTTTTCCCCAGGAACCAAAACCCACCCCTTTGCTCTGGTTTATAAACTCCTTCCTTCAAGTAACGTGGTGAACACAGCACGCCTTCCCAAGTCTCTTGCATCGCCTAGGTACACTCACCTGATTCAAAGACTTTTGAGAAACTGCAGCTGCCGGCCCCACTCAGCAGGCTTCACATGGGGTGAGCGCCGCGACGCCCCCCCCCCCACGCCCACCCCGCACCCCCCATCCCAGCTCCGAGGATCCAGGCCCTGAGGCGCGCGAGCAGCCGGGAGTCACCACGAATGGAGACCAAACGCATGTATGAGGGGTTGGGAGGGAAGGGAGTTACCGGTCACCCCCGCCCCTGTCCAAAGGGGATAGTGACCCCCTGGAGAGAACCCGTGTCGGGAGAACAGGTCAGGGTCCCCGTATCCACCGACCTGGGCCTGCAGGAGCCCTCAACCAGCGCGGACCCGGGCGGGGTGCGTGGGAGAACAGTCCGGCCCACCCCCTAAGCTTCTGCATTAGTAAATACAGGCCTCGCGCATTCATCTGAATTTCGGAAAAACAGAGAATAACTATTTATGCTATGTCCTACACAGTGCATGGGGCTCCGCAGCGCTCAAATGGCGGTGGTTCTACTTAAAGAATCCAGTACCGGCATGCATATAAGCATAACCAATGGACACAAGACACTGGGGGGTAGGGGAGGCCCGGGGAATGTCAAAGGGGGGGGGAAAAGGAGACATGTAATACTCTTTGTAATACTTTAAGCAATAAAACAAACAAAAATTTTTTTAAAAAAAAGAAGAATCCAGGACCGCATCCGGCACCCCCACCCGCGGTCAAACGCTTGTCCCCACCAGAAGGACCTGCAGGGGAACTGGGGCGTCCACCGCCCGCTCGGGCTTCCCGCTCGCTCACCTTCAGCACCAGGACCTCGAGCATCTTCCCAGCGCCTCGCTGCACCCCGCGGGCTCGCCCTGGGTCGATAACACCGTCACGGCCGCGCCCCTTCCCGGGTCTCCGTCGCAAGTCACTGGGAATAAACTTGGGGGACAAAAGCGGAGTCTCTAGGAGTGCCCGCCTCCGCGCTCCGTGGGGGTCGCGACTCCTCCCCGTTCGCCGCCTCGGACTCCGCACGCCCCCCTCTGGACCCCACATCCCCGTTCTCGGCCCGCAGCCCGGCCCGCCACGCACCACAGGCGACGCGCTCGGTCCTCCAACCCAGACGCCGCGGGCGCGCTTGGGGCTCCCGCACCGCCCCCGCCGCCGCCGCCGCCGCCTCCGCCGCCCAAACCTCGAGACGCCCAGAAACCACGTGGTGCGCCAACGGCGCGCACAACGGTAGGCCGGCGCCCAGGCGCCCAGCGCACCTCGCCCGCGCGGAGGGGCGGGGCGGGGCGGGGGCCAGCCGCAGGAGGAGGGGCTGCGAGCCCGAAAGGGTCAGGCCTCACGCGGCGCAAGGGGTCACGGACCTCTAATGGTCGGACCTCCAAAGGGCTAGCGCAGCGGTTCTCAACCTGTGGGTCGCGACCTCTTTGGCGGTCGAAGGACCCTTTCACAGGGGTCGCCTAAGACCATCCTGCATATCAGATATTTACATTACAATTCATAACAGTAGTAAAATTACAGTTATGAAGTAGCAATGAAAATAATTTTATGGTTGGGTCACCACAACATGAGGAACTGTATTAAAGGGTCGCGGCATTAGGAAGATTGAGAACCACTGGTCTAGGGACTCCTACATTCACCAAGGGGCAGAGTGGCCGCCTGGGGGCCAAATTAGTTCGTGGTTGACTGGCCAGGAGGTCCTACCCTCTGACTCCCTCTTGGCCATTCCTCATGTCCCATCCTTGGGATAAGGGAGAATCACGACCAGCCACTGATGCAGGCAACATCACCCACCTCCACCCCTCCTCCTTCTGGAAAGGTCCTCATTACTGATTTTCGTCCCACCTGCCCCTCCACCGGCAGGATATCCCAAATTTTGGTCAGGGGCATTCTTGTCACCATCAAGGGTCACAAACTACAGCCTCACGAGCCAGGTTCTTCCCCAGATGTGTATTTTTTTTGCTATTGTTAAGGCACCACACTTTGAACAGGTCTCAAACTTTGAACACGTAGAAGCCTGAAAATTGGGACTCAGAGAATGGGTCTCAGAATTAGATGAGGTCATACTATATGAAATTAAAGACACCCAAGAAGCACTCAGAGAGGGTTAGCTTTTATTACTACCTCAGGAATAAGCCAACAAACACTTGCATAAGCCAACAAACAAGAAAAAAAGTGAAAGAATATTTCTTAAATATTGAAGGAACCATGGCTAAAAAAAGTGATGGGCCTAAGAGATTTTGCAAATGGATTCTTTAATATTTCACTTGTGAAAAAACAATTTCTTAAGTCCGAGTGCTGGAACCAACAAGAAGGCAACAGATTGCACCACTTCAGAAAGAGCAGGAGCACGCCAGTTGTGGGGTTATATATTTGGGAAACAGAATGCTCACATAAGCATCCAATTTGAAAAGTAAGCATGATTCCACAAGATCAAGCAAACATCACGTCTCTGCAGTCTCAGGCAGGAGAGCTGGAAGGGAGGGGTGTGCTGACTTCCAGTCGAGAGGAAAACAGCTGCAACGTAAGTGAAGCTCACCAATTGCTGAATTGGGCCAACCAGGCCTACTCCCGACAGTCACCTGGCAGGGCCAGCTCACCTGAAGCGCCAGACGTTGTCAAAAAGAGATGAGAAACCACCAGATCTGATTTAAATAGGAGGTTCCAGAGACAGTTCCCAAGCTCTAAAGAAGATGTGGAATACAGCCTTCTCCCAGCTCTTAGTGTAGGTCAGTGTATTTTCCTTTTGACTAGAACCGATGCTACAATATGGTGCTTCCCAAACTTTCCCACAACACAGTTCACAGAAAATGGAAATATTTAGACATCACACTGGGAGGAAAAGTCAAGATTGTTGAAATGGGAGGTCACTACCCTCGGGCTCTAGTCACCTAGTCATCCCCTTAAGGCTGAAGGGGGTCAGTGTCTGTTCCTGTAACTAAACCCCTTACCCCCAGCAAGTAGTGGGAAGCATTTTTAAAGAAATTACTCTGATGATATAATCCTGGTAAACATATGTGCATCTAATATAGGAGCACCTAAATATGTTTCTTTAAAAATCTTCCAGAGGATTTTAAGGTAGAGAGATCAACAACAATACAGTCATAGTAGGAAATTTTAACACCCCACTGACTTCACTGGATAGATCTTCCAGACAAAAAATTAACAAGGAAACAGTGACTCTAAGAACACACTGGATCAGATGGGTTTAATTGACATTTATAGAACATTTTACCCCAAAGCTGCAGAATATACATTCTTCTCAAGTGCACATGGATCATTCACAAATACTGTCCACATGTTAGGACACAAAACAAGTCTCCACAAGTTCAAGAAGATTGAAATCATTTCAAGCATCTTCTCAGATCACAGTGGAATGAAATTAGAAATCAACTACAGTAAAAACACCCAAAAACATTCAAACTCATAAAGGCTAAATAGCATGTTATTAAAACAATGAATGAGTTAACAATGAGATCAAGAAAGAAATAAAAAACTTTTGGGAAACAAATGAAAATGAACACACAACTACCCCAAATCTCTGTGACATAGCAAAAGCAGCACTGAGAGGGAAGTTCATAGCACTACAGGCTATGAACAAGAAAACAAGAAAAGTTAATAATAAACTAGCCCTATAACTTAAAGAACTAGAAGGAGAACAACAAGAAAATCCCAGAGTAAATAGAAGGAAGGAAATAATAAAGATTAGAGCAAAAGTAAATGACATAGAGACTAAAAAAATAAAAATAAATCAGTGAAACTAAGAGCTGGTTCTTTGAAAGGATAAATAAGATTGATGAACTGTTAGCCAGACTCATCAAGAAACAAAGAGAGAGGATCCAATTAAATCAGAAACAAAAGTGAAGTAACCACTGGCACCACAGAAATACAAAGGATTGTAAGAAAATACTGTGAACAACTATATGCCAACAAGCTGGACAATTTGGATGAAATGGAAAAATTTGAAGAAAAAATACAATCTCTCAAAACTGAATCAGGAAGAATCAGAAAACCTGACTAGGCCAATAACAACTGATGAAATAGAAGCAGTAATCAAAAAACTCCCAGCAAACAAAAGCCCCAGTCTGGATGCCTTCACAGGGGAGTTATACCCAACATTCAAAGAAGAACTAACACCTATACTTCTCAAACTATTCCAAAAATCCAAGAGGAAGGAACACTTCCAAGTTGTTTTTATGAGGCCAGCATTATCCTAATTCCAAAACCAGATAAAGACACTACAAAGAGAGAGAGTTACAAGCCAATATCCCTAATGCACATAGAGGCTAAAATCCTCCATAAAATATTAGCAAATCAGATCTAGCAATATATTTTTTAAAATCATACCCCATGACCAAATGAGATTTATTCCAGGGATACAAGGCTGTTACAATATTCACAAATTAATAAATGTGATACACCACATAAATAAACTGAAGGACAAAAATCACATGATACAGCACATATCAATAGACGCAGAGAAAGCATTCGACAAAATCCAACACCCATTTTCGATAAAAACTCTCAGCAAAGTGGGAATAGAGGGAACTTATCTCAACATGATAAAGGCCATATATGACAAACCTACAGTGAATATCATACTGAATGGGCAAAAACTAAAACCATTTCCCCTAAGAACAGGAACAAGACAGGGATGTCCACTTTCACCACTCTTATTCATCAGACAAGAGAAGATATAAAAGGCATTAAAATTGGAAAGGAGGAAGTAGAATTCTCACTATTCACAAATGACATAATATTATACAGAGAAAACCCTAAAGACTCTACCAAAAAACTACTAGATTTAATAAATGAATTTGGCAAAAAAAAAAAAATTAAAAAATAAATAAATAAATGAATGAATTTGGCAATGTAGCATAATATAAAATGAACACCCAAAAATCAATGGATTTTTTATATACCAACTAGAGGCTCAGTGCACGAAATTTGTGAACTGGTAGGGTCCCTAACAGCTGCCAGCTACTCTCTCCCTTCCTCCAGCCACCTGCCCCCCGCTGCTGCTGCTGGTCACCATCTGCGGGGTCCTATTGCTCCGCCAGTCGCCCCGCCACTGCCTAGCTCCCAGGCACTGAGGGAGCCAGGCAGTAGCCCCTTCCCCTGCCGCCACTGCTGTCCACCCTGTGATCAGTTGGGGGGGACATCGGGCCCCCGCCTGGCTCCCTCAGCACCTGGGAGCCCAGAAGCAGCAGGGCAATCGGATCGGCGGGGCAATCGCCCCTGCCCAGCAACCAGTGGCTTGGCTCACACCCGCCTTGGCCTGGCTCCACCCACTCACCTGCTCCACCATCCCACCCCAGTCCCACTCTCTTCAGGGCCTACAGCGCCTCCATTGCTGCCCACTGCCAGCACCATGTTGTCAACACCCGTCATGTTTTGCGCCACCTCCTGGTGGTCAGCACACATCATAGCAAGCAGTCAAACTCCCGGTCAAGGGGACAATTTGCACATTAGGCTTTTATTATATAGGACTAGAGGCCCAGTGCATGAAATTCGTGCACGGGAGGGGGAGGTGCCCCTCAGCCCAGCCTGCACCCTCTCTAATCTGGGACCCCTCGGGGGATGTCCGACTGCCAGTTTAGGCCCCATCCCTCCCCTGCCAGCCTGATCCCCCTAACTGCTCTCCTCTGCCAATCTGATCCCCTTAACTGCTCTCCCCCGCCAATCTGATCCCCTTAACTGCTCTCCCCCACCAATCTGATCCCCCTAACTGCTCTCCTCTGCCAACCTGATCTCCCTAACTGCTCTCCTTTGCTGGTCTGATCACCCATAACTGCCTCTGCCTTGGCCCCACCACCATGGCTTTGTCCGGAAGGATGTCCAGTCTAATTAGCATATTACCCTTTTATTAGTATACATAGAGGCCTGGTGCATGGGTGGGGGCTGGCTGGTCTGCCCTGAAGGGGGTCCCAGATCAGGGTCGGGTCCCTTGGGGGCAGGGCCGGCCTGGGCAAGGGGCCTGGGGCGGTTTGCAGGCTGGCCACACCCTGATCGGGGTGGGGGGTCCTCGCTGGGGGATGGGGCCAACCTGAGCAAGAGGCTGAGAGCTGTTTGCAGACCAGCCACACCCCCATTGGGGTGGGAAGGTCTCTGCTGGGGGTGGGGCCAACCTAGGTGAGGGGCTGAGGGTCGTTTGCAGGCTGGCCATGCCCCCATCAGGGTGAGGGT